CTACCCACCGGGGTCTAGCACCTTCCCTAAAAGCAACAGAAGGGTTCAGGGTTCCACTGTCCCCACAGCCAAGCTGGCTGCAGACGATGGACAAGGTGAAGTCATCCATGGGGCTGCGGCAGACACTGCCCCAGGTCCCGTTGTAGAAGACTTCCAGCCACCCGGCACACTCCTGGTCCTCGCTCACCATCCTCAGGGCCAGGAACTCTAAAATTGAAAGGGGGAAACAGGGCACAGTTGACACTCCACTCAACGATCTGGGTGCTCCTCTCTCCCAGAAATTGTCAACACTCATCCCTGACCCTGCTGAGGAGATACTCACTAGGTGACAAGACTGAAATTGGTCTCCCTTTTACCTGAGTTAGTGCATTTCTGTCTGTCTGTCTATTTCTACCACAATGATGTGATGGAAAATGGGCTGAGAGGAACACTCATCTGGGCACCCTGCAGGGAGGGGGAGCTGAATTCCACTTCCTGAAAAACTCGTGGAAGAGTATGTGAAAGGGATGTGGATAGTAGGGAGGCAGGCAGAAGGGTGGACCCCCCTAGAGACGTCCACATCCCAGTCCCTGGAATCTGTGAAAATGCTACCATAACTGGCAAAAGGGATTTTACACATATGATTAAGTCAAGGACCATGGGATGGTTAGATTAAGCTGGGATATTGTGGATTAACACGTGAACCCAGTCTAATGGCACTTTCCCATCCACTACCCTTACAATTGGAATCCTTTCCCTGACAGTGATTAGAGGGAGATGAGACATGGAAGAATGATCGGTGGAGACAAGGTTGTCTGTCTGAAGAAAAAGGGAAGGAGCTCTGAGCCAAGGAATTCATGCCACCTTTAGAAACTAGAAAAGGCTGAGGAATTCTCCCCAGAGGCTCCAGGTACAATGCAGCCCTGTGGACACCTTGACGTCAGCCCACCATGAACCCTGTCAGATGTCTAACCTGCACAGCGGTAATATACTACATACACCCCTGATTTTTTTAACTACTCAGTCCGTGGTGTCATTACAATACCAGTAGGGTCTCCAGAACTTACTGGAGAGTAAAGACAGACTGGAAAGACGGGCTCCAGGC